TTCCGAAACCCGAAACTACTTCCCTGTCAGCACACCTTCTGTGGTGAGCCCTGTCTGGAAGGACTGGTCGACTACGCCAGACGACAGATCAAGTGCCCGGAATGTAGAGCAGAGCACCGGATCCCCTACAATGGGGTGCAGACGTTCCCTAATAACGTCACTTTAGCCCGATTTCTAGACCTACACCGGGGTATCACCGGCGAAGAGCCGGAGCCTCTGCCCTCTCAAATGGACAGATGCGGTGTTTGTTCAGAAAAGGCCTTCTGTGAGAGGTGTTCCCACTGTGATAAGAAAGTGTGCGAAGAGTGCAAAGAAGCACATCTCGATATATTGCGGCGAGAGATCACTCGCATCAACGGTCAGGTGCGGAGGGGTCTCAACAAACTCACTGAACACTCGCAACAGTCCGGAAGGAATTGCGATAAATTGCAGTCAAGTACCAAACAAATCAGGGATGAAATCACAGAATCTGTTCGACGAATCATTAAAGACCTCAAAGACAAGGAATCGAAACTTTTACACGAATTGGAAGAATACACACAAACAGAGGCTAAGAGTGGAGAGAAGACTAAAGAGGATTTGGATCAGGAATTAGTGAATATAACGAGTAATTGTGAACTCATTGAGAATCACATCAATGAGAACGAGGAGTGGACGGACGCAGAGCTGGTCGAGTATAAGGAGATATTAGTGAAGACATTGGAGTTTCTCAGGAATTTAGACCCGGATACCAGTGACTTCGCCCGCAAAGTCAAGTTTCAGTACAAAACCGATTTTGATGTCTTGAGGCGCTCTGTCGTCGACTTCGGCGAACTCAAGATAACGACCCCTAATGTGATGCTCTCGCCATCGGAGAGCACTACTAATCTTAATTCACTATCGGTTCCCAACCAAACAAATCTATTGAGGAGTCAAAGCGATCATCGATTGGCTCAACAGTTCCAACAGAGAAAATCTGAGTCGAGTCGATATCTAGACATCTCCGGCAGTCAAAGCAGATTATCTGCGCTCACACACAGTGACACCGAAAGAGATAATAGACTCGAGAGAAATACATCGCCGACACGACAACGATTTGATCGGTACGGCATCGATAGGAGACACTTAGAGGAAAGGGAACCGAGGAGTAGATTTGATACGTCAGCGCTCACCAGAGGTTGGCCTCGGCCTTCAGACACGGAAGACTCTGTCGCTCCGACCACTCATTTTAGATCACGTTTTATGAGAGAACGAAATAATCAGGAATTAAGTAGTTTTGAAGACTCTCATGACTCGGACTATGGAGGAAGTCATCGAAGTGTCCGCTTTGAAGAGCCTAACGCTCAGCCCAGGGCTAAAGTTTTTGAGACCGAAGAGGTCACGAAAGGGCCGTTGAGTGGAGTTATTAAACTCATGGACTCTCCGCATGTAATGCAAAGACTTCATCAAAACGAAGTCCGACAAAAATTGAAAGAACAGGAGGCGCTGAACGCACCCCCGCCCGCACCACAGCCTCCTCCTCCAGTGACTACACCGACTCCTACCCCACGAAGAGCGCCGTCCAGACAAGTGAGTGAAGACGAGATCGAAAAGCAAAAGAAGGCCAATCAGGCGGCCGCCGCCGCAGCCGCGGCCAACCCACCGGTGGCGCCCACTCCTCCTGTGCCACAATCGCCGAAGACATCAGTTCCACAGTCGCCGACAACAGTACCTGAATCTCCGAATAGACTAATCAACAGAAGACTGACTCAACTTCAGAAGGAAGACTCCGTCACTCGTTATAGTACTGACTCTTCACGACATGGATCTGATGCCGAAGAATCGCAATTAGGAGACGATTCCGACACGAATACAGGGATCGGGCGATTCAACCGAAGACGTGACGAAAGCGATAGTTCGCGGGTTTCCACTGCACGACAGACATCAACTCAAAGGCAAGTATCCGATTCTGTCGACAATAGTTCCACTCCTTCGACTCCAACCACTAATTCGGTGACAACTACTGGTGCGCTGCCAATCACTCCTCCGGTCGACAGCTCAACAAACATCACCTCAAGCCCTACCAGTGCTATCGATACAACCATTAGTTCAGATATTAGCCATAACCATGAGATTAAACAAGACTCTAAAGACTGTCAAGACTCTCCTGCCTGTCCTCCACCTCCACCTCCACTTAAGTACAAGTTTGTGTCGAAACCCTATAGTTCTCGTAACTTCTCGACAACCAATAACTCTGTATCGGAAACCTTAGCCAATGGGAGAACTCAAAGTCAATCAAATCCATCAACCGATTTGTATAGTTCAAGATATAGTGCCAAAACCACACCAAATGTCACACGACTCTCAAGTGATGTACGTTATGATAAACACTATACCCGTAATACCGGTGCAAACAGTATTCCCAGCAGTTATTCCAGTAGAAGAAGTCCAGCACTTAATGATAATTTAATGCCAAGAGCTTCCGACGCTTCCACTAATCACTTACTTCCCGCCAATTCTGCTATTAGTAGTCATTCCTCAACTAATAGTAGATTGGGTTCACCCGAGAGGCGGGTGAGTCTTGAAGACTTTAGAGGTCAGGAAAGGCCTAACTATAACCCCCATAGACAGGCGCGACCTAATGCAGTCACTTCCTCATATCAAATGCCTTTAACATCAAATGTATCGCACTTACGAAGTCCGACCTCTGCAGCCATTTTGTCGACAGTGTCTTCACCGACAACATACAGACAAACGCTTTCATCACTTGGTTTTCCTGATTCAAGTAATGAGAGACAAATCATTACGAATTCTATCGATTGGGGAATTAGTCTTTTTGATTACATTTGCTTTACTCTGGGATTCATTGCTTTCATTACTGTCCTTATCTACAGGTCTGTACGTTCGCCGCTGGGGAAGAACCCATCGTTAGACCGATCGACCGACCGAACAGACAGACATCACTCTACAAATACCTCCCACACCACCGCTCAGACATCTGATCCCCAATCAGACACAATCACTAACAGAACTCCAATTACTTCAGACAAAACAAATATCAGAACCCTTTCCACTGACATCGAGAGCGAATCCAGTGATAGTAATGCTAGCAATGAGTCGAGCGCTGACTCCGAATCTGAATCCGAAGACGAAGAGGAGTCCACTTCAATGCCAATCGCCGCCACCAATACAGTCAGTGCCAGTAGTGGTCGACACCCGACCAGTAGTTCCCTTGAGAGGCCGTCACACGAGAGGTCTGACAGAACCATTCAAATGCCCGCATCTGTATCCACTTTATTGAATCGCAGCGCACAGGCCCGGAAGGACAACCTCTCGACCATCAATAGGTCAGATTCACCCCAATCCTCACGAATCTCCCGACAAAACACTTTGACCGATGAGACCAATAGCGACCCCAACCGTCCCCTCTATAAGGGAAGGCGAGCGTCAGACGCCTCCAAAGAGGAGTCTACGCCAACATATCAGTCGAGACGGACTCTGACCCGAGCGGCTACTCTTGAGGACGACAACGACGACCAGACCGTCACATCTTCGGCATACTCTCGATTCCTCGCCCGAAGCAAAACCAGTTCCGCGTTGGCGGCCAAAGAGGACACGACCGGAGATGACTCCCGATTCACATACTCGCGAAGACCTGATAAATTTGGTACGACTTCTAGTAGTTCCTCATATCGTAGCCGTTTGGCCAAAAGCAAGAGTTCGCACGCATTATATGGTATTTGATATGAGAAATCATTTAGACATTTGAAAAACAGTCAATCGCTTCACTTATATTAAAAGTTTTTTAACATTTAATCGCAACTATTTTAGCTTCAAATAACTCTTAATTCATACATTTATTATTGACTAATAGTGTTTTAAATTTGAAGTTTTCGAGTGAATTACAACTAAAATTGAATTATATTTACGATTTGCAGTGATTTTTAATCCTTAATGAATTCCGCTTAAGTTAAGGCCTAATGAGTTGACTGTTATTCAGATCTTTGAATTGATTTTGATTCAGTGTTGATTCAGATCTTTCACTGTCTATAACTTATTCAAGATTTATATCAAATATGTCTAATTCTTTAAACTGCAAAGTTTTACATTCAAAACTTATTTAATTGAAACAATTTTCGTCATAATTATTAAATAACTATAGGTTTCGATGACAGCGACGACGAGAATGTGAACCCTATATCTCCGACATATAAAAGCAAATACGGAGAGTCAGCTCTGCCTACCAGAAGAACATCCCGATCCTCAGGATATACATATAGGACTCGAGATCCGGGCAGTCCTCCTCCCGAGGATGAGACCGGCCAATCAGTGGCTCAATATTTGATCAATAAATACGGCACCAAATCATCCGTCCAGAAGACAGAGCCCACCAATAGAACCAATTCTATACTCAAGAGTAAGAGCTCTCATGTTATTTACGGCAGAAGTATCTCGAGTTCAGACGACGAGCCGCCCATAAGTGTCCGACGCGGCAGTCGAGACGATGCCTCGGCGTCACTCATCTCATCGCTTAAGACATCGAGTTATGGGTTGACTTATCCCCGACAGATGTATACCCAAAAGGGTAGGCTTATGATGAAATTGGGATCGAGGGGTACGGAAGCCGGTTGTTTCACTTGGCCCCGGGGTGTGGCTGTCGGACAGAATAATAGCATAGTTGTGGCCGACTCTTCCAACCATAGGGTGCAGGTGTTTGACTCGACCGGAAGGTTCTCCTTTGAGTTCGGGTCGTATGGTAGCGGAGAGGGAGAGTTCGACTGTTTGGCCGGAGTTTGTGTCAACAGAATCGGACAGTTCGTCGTTTCCGACAGATATAACCATAGGATACAAGTGTTTGACGCCTCCGGAAGATTTATGAGAGCTTTTGGATGTGAGGGACGATCTGATGGCAAATTCAGTTACCCCTGGGGTATAGCCGCCGACGCCTTAGGATTTATATATGTTTGCGATAAAGAGAATCACAGAATCCAAGTCTTCCAATCGGACGGCCTGTTTGTCGGCAAGTTTGGCACAATTGGGAGTAGGACTGGCATGTTAGAGCACCCACACTATATCGCTGTCAGTAATACTAATCGTGTGGTGATCAGCGATAGTAATAATCATAGGATTCAAGTTTGTATTTCTATTACAGTATTTCTATTTTGAATTTATAGGAAATTTTTGAAGACCTTGTGTTCATTTTTAATCATTTAAACTATTTGTTTAAAATACAGATATTTGATGTGAACGGACGGTCTCTTTCCACTTTTGGCAGCGAAGGTATTGTCTAAACAATAGTACATTTGTATTACCATTCACTCGATTCCTACTCTTATTTTTCTCACACTATTTCGAAATATGTGAGACATTCGGCTATTTATAGAGCGAAACAAATGCTAACATAAATGTTGACATTTGAAAGCATTTTTTACTATCTTTTTTAAGTCAAGACAAAGTATTCGAGAAATTTTAAACTAATTAATTTTATTAATTGAGTCAATGCCATATATTATAAGCGATGCCATTAATTATTGACAAACAAACAGCCAATTTATATCTAATTTTAACCCAAACTTAAGGCTCAAACGAAGGACAGTTTAAGTTCCCGAGGGGTGTGGCGGTGGACGACCAGGGATTCATAATAGTGGGCGACAGCGGGAACAATAGGATCCAGATATTCAATCCCGACGGCACCTTCCTAAAGGCATTCGGCACTTGGGGTTCGGGTGAGGGAGAGTTCAAAGGCCTGGAAGGGGTGGCCATCACATCGACCGGTAATATATTGGTCTGCGACCGCGAGAACCATCGGATTCAGATGTTTTGAACAATTTTATAGAAGTTTTTAAAGCTTTTTCAAAAAAAAATTATCATTTATTTGTTTATGATTTTAGTTTATTTGATTATTTAAAACTTATGTTTAGTCATTAATTTATTTACAGATTTGATTGTCATTATAGGTGTTGACATGAGATTTAGGTCTATCGTCGATGGTTAGACCTATTATCCAATGAAACACTTTTCCCTAATTTTACATTTAATTTATAGCTTTGTTAGACTTGAAAAGTCAGTGAAAAAAGTGGGCGAATATTAATGTTTTGTCTGAAATAATTGGTTTACTATTATTACAAGTTACTCATTAGAGATATTTTATTTTTTAACCAAACGTTTAAACCGTTGACTAACTCCTAAATAGTTATTTGTTTGAAAAACTATATAAAAATCAATAAAAATATTCTAAATATTGTATAAAGATTTGAAAAATAAATTGTAAAATAAATTATTTGAGTGATAATGGATTGATAAATTTTTTATTTTAATTAATAAGCAAATGAAAACAATTTACAAAATAAATTCGGGAAAACTTTAAATTAAATGAAAGAAATACACAAATAATGAAAATAATGCTTAAATGAAGAGAATTTGGAGAAATAGATGAGAATTAGTGCTCAAAGATGGGCTCCAAATCATTTCGGGAGGGATTCGGTCTATAAGTGCCTCTCGTGTCGACCAACTCCTCAATCGATGAAACCTTTTTGGGCTTCTTTTCAAAACACTTGAAAACTCGAATACAAAGAAAAGCCGACAAAAAGAAGATAATAATATCCAAAAGATATTCGGAATACGAGAAGTCGGCGGACCATCCGTTGCCGCCATCGTTCACATTGAACCGGATGTCAATCAAATTGAATTCAACTCCTCGTCCTATTATAAGAAACAATAATTATATTTGCGATAAATCTGAGAAACAATTAGTTATAGAGTTTTGTCAAACCGTTGAAACTATCGATAATAATGAGGATAAAACCGGCGAAGAGTTTGGCGCCTTCGATGAACGTCGCGATCACCAGCACATCCACTAATGCCAGACACGAGCCCATGAATATACTGAACATCACGAAGGCGTAGACATAGAGGACACCAGTGATGACAATTGAGGCCCATTTCCTCATCGACGGGTCGTTCAACTCGATGGACAGGAATTGGGAGCAGTCTTCAGAGCACACTTCGATCGGTCCTTTCGACAGATCTGGATATCCGGCGCTTGATTTGGTCACATACTCCGTGTCGTTGACCATCTGGTCGTCATTCAGATCATTCATAGTTCTCTTCGGATCTACTCTTTCTGGGGAAGCGTTGGAAGCGTTGAAACGTCCGTCCAATAGAATAGTCATTGTTATGGCATTTGATGGGTTGTCATCCTCTTCCTCGTGAGTCCATTCGTGCCATTCGGACGACTCGTTTGAGTGACTGACGGAAGCGTTGGATCCGTTGCTGTGATGAGAATCGCCGAGTAATTCAGTGCTCGGAATATAAGTGAAATTCTCGAAATGAGTTTCATTTGACAATCTCTTGGGGTCTCTGATAGGGTTTGATTCCCGCAATGGTATCACATAAGTGTCTCGTTTGCGCTTTTTTGAGTCTTCAAA